CCTCATCCTTCATTTCTTTCACTCTCCTATTACATCTTAGTTTTTTAATAATGAAGTCTCAGAGATCTATGCATCAACTAATATGATAATGTCTCCAATTCAGTACTAACAACAAAAAATATTTTTTAACATACCAAGGGTGGTGCCCTGCGAAAAGCCAACATAATACAACTCCTTTTGCCCAGTTGTCTGAAGAATAAAGTTTATTATTGCAGGAAGGTCATATACAGCCATTTCATGAAAACTGCAACAAAATGAAATTGGGAACATAATAAATTTGTAACTACTGCCTGTGTGAGCTGAATGTCGCTTTTTGAACCCTAGACACAGTCCCTGTCAGACCATTGCTACATTGATATTTTTTGGCACTTTGGGATTTGGGATTTGAAACTTTGTCTCACTACATAAAGATACCAATTTTATTTTTACTTTCAAATGTTTGGTGGACAGCTTTCTTGTCCTTCCTTAGAAAACATATTAAGTTCTTGCCATGTGAAAAAATATTCCCACTGAAGACAGGGTGATGCAGTTTTAACATGTATTGGCAAGTCCAGACCCTAGACTTGGGTAATGCGCAGGCTTAAGGAAAGCTAGTTGTTAGGAGTGGGAAGGAAAAAGCTAAATATGATTGGAGGTATTTTCTATATGGATTAAAGTTGCATGCAATAATATATTATCCTTGGAGCTGATTTGGACACTGCACTGATTTGATTTGTTTATTATATGGTTAATGTTAATTAACCATGAATAATGTGTGTCAGCTGACAGAGATTGACACATACCAATAAAACCAGATTAACCAACCTGTTAAAATGCTTTTATGGTTGCTTTGTATCCATCCAGGGCAGTGTAAAGAGCTGAAATACACCAGTGAATCTGACCCAAAATACTATTTGAAATAGAAAAATTACCATAGTATACAACCAAGTGGTTAGATAAAACTTCTCTGTCCTCCAGTTTTAGGTACCTGTAAGATGAAAATTCCACCTGGTCATCTGAATATTTATCATGTTTTTTTGCCCCTGTGCTCCCTCTGGTATTTCCAATCCATACATCATAGCCAGCATTTGCTAGTATGAAGCCTAGGCTGTGGTTGGGAAAATTAGCAACCCAGTTGCTTCCCTCCAACACTAAGCCAGACTGCAGAAGAACGATGGGCTTTGGACCTGAGAAAGAAATAAGTGGATTATTTTAACAAAGTAAAACTGCTTTAATAGGTTAAAAAAATGGTACACCCAACTTTTCTCCATATATTTCAGGGAATGGTCAAGTGCTGGGAGAACTGTGCATTTACAACATCTAGCTAACCTGCTGGCTTCATGGCAGTTTACTGCGCATTAGCCTAACAACACTGTGCAGTAGCATTATTGTTAAAAACCATGCTAATAGTCCACTGGGCACTGTTATTAGTCTAACATGCAATAAACATCACAAAATAACCATGTGTCAGTGCTACTGTGCAGTAACTCTAGTTACTGCACATTTACTTCATTAAGCAAGTACTAAACTAAAAGAGCAGTAACTAAGGAGCATTAATGAATGTGTAGACATGCCCAGAGTGGAGTGGATTACTGCCTCCTCTATCCACTAGCAACAGCACACCTCACTCAAAAAAAAAGTAATATTAGATAATGAAAATAATTATACATTTTTCACCACGAAAAACTTTAACATGTTGGAATATGAGAAAATGTGCATTTAAATGTTGAGGATAACTGAAAATGGTTACAGGGTTATTGTGGTGGTGAGACACCCCCACAGGCTCCCAAAGGAGAGAGGGCAGTCCCCACAGGCCCCAAACCCCACAAACAGCCCCCCCACAAAGGAAACTTACCTCCAGGGGCACAGCTGGAGCCGGAGCAGGAACCACAGCCGTGACCGTGCGAGCTGGCATTACGCTGACTGCTTAATCAGCTGTTCCCCGGGCAGAGAAAAGTTAAGCCAATCATGGCGGCCATTCTGGCTGCCATGGGAAGATTTAAAAGCCCCACTGGAACCCGGGCAGCAGAGAGAGTGAGGGAGCATGCTGGCGTGGAACACGCCAGACATGTTGGGGCTCCTGGAGCAGCCAGGAGCAGTACAGCTGGCTTGATGCCAGCAGGCAGAGCAGGAGAGGTTTTTGCACCCCCTGCAGCAGGCTGGGAGGAAGGAGGCAACTCCACACCCCTCTCCTCCCCAGAGGTCTATTTTTTTTGACAAAAAGGAGAATAGGAGCAAAACCAGAAGCACCCTACTCAGAGGTGCTGAAGTAGGTGCCAGCCAACTCAAGTCCAGCTTGCCAATCTCTATAGCAGGAAGGCTACTCATCAGGGCAGCCTGACAAGTCCCAACAGAACCCACACTGACACGGGTTCCCCCCCAGGCAAGCAGGGGTGATCGAGCACGACCAAACCACACAGTTGTGCCCATCCGGTTGGCGAGTGGATGGGGTGTAGGAGAGGCAGAGCTCTGTGGAACATCGCACCCAAACTGTGAATACTACAGTCCCCGGGGCTCCCCAGGAAGAAGAACTCCACTGAATCCTCTGGTTATCCAATAACACCAAGTCATGCCAGGCGAGTTGAGGGGAGGGGCCCTGCGCCAAATGGATAGTACGTCAGGAACCCCCACTTAAGACACCTTTCATCACAGTTATATTAGGATTCTTTCTTCTCATTTTTCCTTTGTCCTCCAAAAGTCCCTTTCCACAGCCTACTGAAGACTCCTCTTAGTGATCCCTTTCCTGAACAACCTCCCTCTGAGAATAACTATTCCCTCTTGGACCTCACTATCCTGATGCTCAAAGGAAATCTACTTAACACTATAAAAGGTGACCTGGAGAGTGAAAATTCATAAGTTGGCTGGACATTAAGAAGCAAGGACTTAATGCTGATGTTGGTTTTATGGCTCATTATAAGTTATAACCAAGCTGATCCCTGAATTTTTCCCACAAATGAAAGGTAAGCAAAATCCTTACCTTCTGACAAGCCTTGATCTTCCAGTAATCAGCTTCTATTCTCCTGCTAACTATTTGTCTGTGAACAATACCCCCTTCCCCCCTTATAACTGTTTTCTTTACTATGCTGCATTCGCTGTCACTGCTCAGACCTGATGAAGAATGTCTTGCATTCAAAAGCTTGTCTAATTCTGGACCAACTGTACGGTTGGTCTAATAAAATGCATCACCCCAAACAATCCTTGCCTCTTCCATACTTAAAAAGCATTCTCCAGGCCTGGGATCCTGTACCACCACAACAAACATCATCCACTGGTGAACTGAAATCCAGAAAGGAATGGTCGTACTAACCATTCCATGTTATACTGATTAAGAAAATGCCAGAAAGCAGCCAGGAAGCACAAATGGCAGACACTTAAGTGATATTTCTTTAGTGTTTTCTTTTTTAATAAGATGTGATAAAGACATCAGAATAGAATACATCCTTACAAAATGTATGAGACCAAATCATATAGTGACTTGTGTCCCACACCACTCCATTAATTTCCATGGTTTATGTTAGGTAGCATTTGACTCAAAACTCTTCTATTGACTGTATCCCACTGCCCCACCTCTCTGTCAAATTATTCCCCTGCCTACAAAAAAAGCATATCCAGTAGAGCTATTCCCCTAGTGCCTCTACTTCCCAATACTAATCACAGTCACCAAGGTGTCTCCTTATTGCCCAACCTACTTCTGCTTTGTCCAATGCCTGCTCCCTGCACCCTTCTCATCTCCATTCCAAAGCAGTCCTGTCAGCTACAGTCCAGCTGGATCTTCCAAGTGCATGCGTGTGTGCCCTGATCTCTTTTGGATCCAAATTAGTAAACTGATGAGCAAAGGTTTCAGGTTTCTTGGGCTACCATCATGCACATGCAGGTACACTGCCTGCCAAAACTTCCCGAAGCTGAACATAATGAAACTTCATGTAAGATACCTGAGTTCCCTGGATTTTCTATGCCATGTGGAATTCTGTTGATGGTAAGGTAATAGCCATCATCAGTCTGGATGATGTACTCCTCACTTGGGTACCCTCTGTAGCAGATGATCTCACTCTGCAGAAAGGAAAACAGGAGGATAAAACTGGTTGCCCATATGATTGCTATACATTACCTGGGGATATCTCTCATAAGGAAATATGTAGAGGAATCTATTGTTGTTTAACGTTTAAGAGCTTCTATAATCTGCAGGTTTGAAATCAGCCAGGAAACAAATCAGCATACCTGGAGGCTGCACCAGGTCATGAAGTATTCAACCATGGCAGCTTAGCATCCATGTCATGCCTGTGTTCTAATATCATATGAATATTCCTATAACACATTCTGTTTTTTGAGATGATCTTGACACACTTTCAAACAATATAGAGGCAGAAGTTGATTTAAAGTGTTAGTTGTTTTCCTCCAAAGGAAATAAAGCATAGTAAAAAAGTGGGAGTTCTGGATGTTGAATTCATTCCTAATAGAGAACAATGTTAAAACTAGAGAAAAAATGTTCAATTTGCAGGCAAAGTGCCTCTAGAAACATCTAAATTCAAGTTCTCGAGATGATAAGAAAATAGTTGGTTCATAGGTTTTTAGATCTGCATAAGGAAGAGAAAGGATTAAACAAATCAAATGGCTAAGACTATGTCCATACTAAGGTCATAGCCTGAAGGAATAACTGCAGGATATTGTAGAGTTTTGAGGTGGTTATCTTGTTACCAACAGCAGCAATAGCACCATTGGACTTAGTTCAATTGTACCTAAATAGAAATGTTGTTCCCTCTCTTAGGCAGTTGGTTATAAAGGTTGGGTAGAGCAGGAATCAAAGGAGGTTGGAACTGCACTGCCCCCTAGATCCGCTTCGCCAGTGTACTGTTTGCAACTCTTGATTCATTTTCAGTTATTGACTCATCTAGATGCACAAAAGTTTATTTGAAAAGACTCATCTCAGGCACTGAAATCTTTGACATGTAAAATCACAGGTTTGAAAGGGAAGTTGAAGGTCGGTTAGTCCAATCTCCTGCACAGACACAGTCTATTTCTAAGTTTTATACAAATTACCTTTAGCAGTATTAAGATACTTTAATATCCAATATTGGCAGCCGTGTACCTAAGGATGCAAGAGTGGTGCACCAACCCCACACATGGAGAAAGAGAGTGCCAAAATAGTAGCCTCTGGAGATCTCATGCTACAACAGCAGCAGCCAGTTGTAGGGACACTGACAGGATCTTTGAGATTCCAAAGCAGGTAAACTTGATGCCCTTCACCCTTACCAGCACTCCAGTATCTGCCCAGACTACAAAATGTGCTACTTATACCTCTGGGTAACAGACTGTTCATAATCAACCTTCACACTATTTTATAAATGGTGCCATTTATATTAAATTGAGATATAATTATGCATTATGGGATTTCAAAATACCAGTTATACCACGCAGAACAACTCATACTGGCTAAGAAACCTGCAGATACACCTCCCTTTCTAGAGAGAAGAGAATTTTGTAGAATTATTTTTTTCCTTACTCTGTTCCATAAAATCATCCTTCAAGTACGTTCTTTTAGGCTTACATTTTATTACAAGGATGCAAGGCACAGTATTGGACATCAGTGCTTCAAACGTGCCTAAGAAAGGAGTTGGGCTTCATGGAAATGTGAATCCCTACCCCCGTGCACCACCTTCCTCCCTCCCACCCAGCCCCCCTTGACCTCAGAAGGTCCACTAATCTTGGCCTATACTATACGCTACTTCTCACACCGGCTGTAATGCCATAGCCAGGCAGTAAGGTATGAGACCAAGCCTCTGACCTTATGCCCGTTTGATGGGTTTCACTGTTACATACTTCTATTTACCTGAATATTGACCACAAACCCAGCCTACCATTTCATAAGGAGAGGTTCAAAATGAGTCAGACAAACTTTAGATATGTTCTTTAAACAGGGTCCAAAGTACTTTATCTGTATATTATGCATATAGATGTAATTCACTTCCCCGCTTTAGTCAATCAGTAAAAGGCCTACACAGAAAAGAAATTATAGGAGGCAGTTTTCTCTAATAAAAACCTAAGGAGGCTGTTTACCTTTAAGGATATGATTGGTTTATTTTTTTTAAATAGTTCCTAGTTTGGGAAGGGATTTGACTGAAGGAAAATTCTTTTTCTGAAGGAAGTAATGATTAAGTTCAGTTAACAAAAATATTTCATTGTCCCCAACCAGCTTCAACTTTCAACTTACAATATTCATTAATACTTCAGGATTCACATCTATTAGGCTCATAGATCCTTCCAACTTCCCAATACCATACATCAAATAAGTTATAATAAACAGCCACATCTTGATTTTCTGAAAAACAATGTCACCATTAATAACATATATCAAAACTGAAGAAATATACCATAGATATAGATGACACTAATATGTGCTCATATGTTAAAGAAGGTATTTTATTTTGTTAGGCCTCAATGCTGCAGAAGGCATTTTTCGTATAATGTGTCATGGTAACCAGGTAAATGATAGAAACATTTCAGTTTAAAATACTAAATCTTTTACTTTGTCTATTTTGCCAGTCTAATTATTCCTGCGTGTGTGGAAACATCCAGGAATAAAAGTAGGAAAATCCACCAGTTCTAGTTACAGAGTTTCCTCAGATCATTGTATTTGGGAAGAGAATTTGTGCGTCTCTCCCTGCCCCTTCACCAATCCACAGTTCAGCAGTGGATTTCAACTGACTATTAATTTGTACTAGGACAAGTTGACGCAAATTACCAGCATGAAGAACTGTATAGAGGGAAGTGTGTTGCTAACCGCTTATCATTGTTTGCTTGTTTAATTCAGCACTTAAAGTTGTAGATGGCCAACCTATTTTAATGTTCTGTTTTGGCTTTTGTTCATATCACAAACATACTGCTTTTTGTTGTTTTTAATGTGGTTGGAAGTATGATTACTCCTGAAACTGGCACAGAACCCAACCAGGAACTGCAAGAAACATGTAAGCAACTTTTATTCAAATTAAACTGAAGAATAACTGCTGTTCTATTCATGGGAGTTGTCAGGAGAGATTGCTCAATAAAACAATCATGCTAATACACCCCTTTCCTCCCCCATAACTAAGTCTATCCTGTGCCTAGGGTGGGGTGAGGTTCTATAGAAAAAGTTGTCTTTAATCATGTAATCAAGGACTGGACCACTGTTCAAGGTACAGCTAGAACTTCCTAAATGTTGAATGCTTGACTTTAGAACCTAACAGTGTTCTTTTAACATATTTTTTCACTTACTGGGCTATTTAGTGAAAAGGGAAGAGTAAAATCAATTATATGACATGCAATTGGAACAGCCTTCAAATAAACACAATCCTAACCCTTCAGCATGGCAGCATACTACCACTTGAGCTAAAAGATTCACTATTGTAACCGGAAGCAATAGAAAGTCATTAAATGAACCCACAGGGAGTAATGAGCCACTGGGTTCAACTATAAGTATCTGCAAGAGAATCACAGCAAACCTTCCCACCAGCCTAGCCTGTCTCTTTCCTCACATACCATAATATACTAGACAAACCTTAGATGTATGCTCCCAATGGAGTCCAAAGTACTACATTTGTTCTGAGGTTCAATTCAGTAGAATAAGTTACTGAAAACTCCTCCTGCACATACAGCTTCTGAGAGGCACACAAAGTATTATTATGATATATATTTCCTATAACATATTTTTTTTTTATCTTTAGGTGTTTTTTTTAACACAAATGAAAAATAGATTTACTTCAGCCATATTAGTCAAATCCTCAGCTTCCTTATCCCCATAGATTTGTTCTGAGACATCAGCTAAGTAGTTCAGAGACAATTCATCAATCATTCTGTCCTAAGATAGATAACTAACATGCAGTTTTGATTTTGAGAAAGAAGAAATTACCAGAATCTACTTACTGTACTGGATGGAAATCAGGAGCCTAAATGGCTGCAATTTTGATGATCCTAAACTCAGTGAAGCAGAAAGGAAGCAAATGAATGGACCACAGAATTCTCTCTGTAGGCGTGACAGTCTTTAAAATGCAAAATCCTCTCTCTCTCTCTCTCTCTCTCTCTCTCTTTCTCTCTCTCTCCACAGTTCAGTGCAACATCTCTTATACTTAGTGCATTAGTATTCTATTAAGGGAGTGCACAATAACATATATGGTCTCTTTCCTCATTAATGTTAAGATAACATATAATTTAGCAGAAGGTAGGCAGTGCTTTGAAAAGAAACACCCAACTTCTCAGCTAAGAAATTATAACTAATAATTTCAGCTCAGAATACATTTGCCACTGCTGAACAAAAGCTACTATGTTTGAGGGTAATACGCAACAGTTTATTTTAATCCAATTAGTGTCGTTAGAAGGTAATCCATAGTCCACATTTCATCTTCCATATCCTTGGAACAGAGTTGCCCAATTTCATGTTACAATATTGCATTAGGACCAGAATTAGGATAAGATGCTGATTTTGAAATGACTTAGAATCCAAATAGGTCATAGGTGATGCATCCAGACTTTCAGACCAGTCTGACTTGTTCAAGCATGATCATGCAGGAACCTGCAATTTCACTGTTCCTATTCTTTTCTTACCCTAGGTTCTATCTGTGTAAAGGAAAGGTGATCTTAAAACTGCACGTCTATCCTCTAGCAGCCAATGAAATGGCTTACACAAGGCCAGAAAAGCAGAGGGAGGGAATATATGGAAATACAACAGTAGTGACCTTGGTTTCAATTCCAGTGGGGGAGGGCTGACACCTTTCCTCAATTTTATCTCATCACTAGTTATATCCACCTGGTACCCAATAAGGATGTCTGTCCTGTCTTCTAACATTTGTAACCTGCACATGCTTGTGTCCTTGTAACCTTCACATATCCACATGTCCTATTAACTGATTTTTACCCTGGCATCCCTAATCACAAATGGTACTTTTCATTTTTCCTCATACATTTGTTCCTTAATAATTTTAATAATTCATTGTATTAGTAACTTATTTTTTTCTTCAAAGATCCTCTTCAGTTTATTTTAGATGCCCCTGCAGTGTTGGATCCAAAAAATAAACAAGAAATTGAAGTCTATTTTACAAGATCTGTGGTTCTTCTGAATTTGAATACCTTTTTTATATTTTGTTTGAAAAATATTTTATGGTGACACAAATTGTGAGAAAACAGAGGGTGCCACCCTCTGTCATACCACATCAAAAGAAAACTGGTGACATAACAAAGGGTAGTAACAGATTGCCACTATTGCAGCAGGTGTCTATTAGCTCTGCAATGGAAGAGTGCCATTGTAGCCACCTCCACTGAGGCATCTTTGCCACAGAAGTGCTGCCCTTGTCCTACCATAGATGTTGGACAGGGGCAACCCTGGGCCAACTATGTACATGAAGGGGGGAAAGGGGAAGACATCCCTCCCTCCAAAAATTTGCCATAGGAGGCACAGTCCTGTGGCCAGAGGTTGAAGGGGGAGCCCCTCAGGGAGCCTATGCTGCTGCCTGTTTCTTAGCAGCAGCAGTAGCATCTTCCATCTGAGTGGAGAGAGGGTAAACTCTGCACCATCCCCAACCAACCTGCTCTTCAGGGTTCGGTATGACCCCCTCTGTTACAGGTAAGTTAGGTGACTTGAGGTTCTCTTTTCTTGGTCTGAAAACCTGCCTGTGATCTTCATTTGCCAACTCATCTGCCACGCCTTGATGAGAGAATATGTAAATAATTAAACAAAAGAATATTATGAACCATATAGCCAAGCTTATATTTGTTTCCTCAATACCTCTTGCAGAAAATACCCGGTGTGGTCACACACACGGAACATTATCCAGTCTTGTCAATTTCAATATCTCACAGTCCTTACAGCCAGTGAACTGTTAGTCTAGCAAGTTAACCCTAATAGTCTATTCTCCTTTGTCTTTTTCCTTTTAGGGTCTGGCTCACAGTTTACAGGAACAGCTCATCCTCCCAGTCTACTAGGGGGATCTCACCTCTCTCTCTCTCTCAGGTAAGTTACCTCCACTTTTCTGGGAAACCACTTCTCCTCCCATAAGCCACTGCTAATGAGATCCTACACCTCCATGCAGGTTGCCACAACCTCACTCAGTTGTTCTCTCTCATACTCTGCCCCCTTCCAGGGGTAGAGACTTGCTGGCAACAGTCTTTTAACTGTTTCCCACTGTTTCCTTTTCTGGTGATTGAAGTCTCTTTTCAGGGGAGGAGAACTTCCATGGCAGAACACAGCCTAATGACACCATGCCTGCTCCCCACATCTCCGACTCTCAGTAAGTTTCCATGAAATGTCCCATGTAACAGAGCTTGCCTCCCTGTTACACCCTCTCCCCACCTCCCCTGAGCTCTAAAAGAGCTTTCTACACCTCCAGTGTTTATGTCTCTAATTGCATGGTTTTCAGGAAAGGATTACCTCCGCATTTGCCAAGTGCCTAGCATTTGGAGTTTTCATAATATAAAATATTTAGCTAGGATTCCCAATGTCCTCTCTCCACAAAGTTGAGCAAGAATGCTGACATATAGGAATACCTGTCTCTTCTGTTGCAGCTTAATTTGTTTGGGGAATGGGTACAAGCTATATTGATGAAACAGTGATTTTTCTAGTATACAGATTAATTCCATACTAGTCCATATCTCTAATGCCTAACCTTTATTAGCCTCAATAAACTTCAAGTTCCACACTTTAAATATATTCAGTGTCATCTTAGTTAGCCAGTGTTATATAAATTTCTGACGGCTAAGGATATAGTACATTGTTTATAGATTTTTCAATAGTCATTATAATTATTCATCAGTATAAAACCTTTTCCTCTTGTATCCTTGAATATATTAGCAAAGCAAGGGACAAGGTGATAAATATTTTATTACTGGCCTACAGATCTTTGCTCATGTGATGTCTGAACTCATTTGTAAATCAGCAGATCATCAGTAGTCCTTCAGGGCTTCAGCCTCTAACTATTCATGGATTGACATGCTGTTGTTGTAAATAAATCAACCACTCATCAATTCCAATGACCAGATGACTCAAAAAGCCTCTGTGATCACAAGATGAAGTATAACAGGTAAGTAAAAGGGAATTCTCCATATCATAGGGAACTAGAAAGCCATTAGATAACAACAAGTCACTTCATATCAATAAAAGCATTGTCATGACATTTAATTGGATTTCCACATTGTATCATTGCCCAATACATGAAAGGCTCAGCAGCCATGGCCTTGTCTTTTAAGAAAGAACTGTAGATGTTAAGCAAACCCAGAAATGCTTGCAGCTTCAGATTTTTCTTGGATATTAGATTGCGATAAATTGATTCTACTTTTGAACTTGAGGGAATTCTATTTACATTAACATAGAGTTCCAGTACTCAGTGTTGACAGGCTCCATTCAAGATATCCTAAAGGAAGTTAGCAAACAGAGGCAACGCATAGGGGGTACATGTGGGTACTCGTGCACCTCCTGCGTGTGGCAGTGCACCCCCTGCAAAAGATGAAAAAGATGTCATCAACACTGTCACCAGTGCCTGTGGGTGGTCGCCGCTTGCCACCCCACCACTGGTACATGATTGCCCCTGGCCACTGCCATCACTGCTAGCAGTGCCAGTGGGTGGTTGCTGACCTATGGTCGGCACTCGCCACTCCCCCCACCCCCAACCGCCAACAGCGCGCGTGGCCTCCGCAGGAGCCTCCC